TGAACGTAGGAAAGTTATGTCAGATTCATTCCACTGTTTTTCCTATTTTTGTCTACCTTCTCTTTCTCTCCTTCCCCTTTGTCTAATCCACTGAACTTTTATTCTACCTCCTCACCCTTATTGTGTATTAGCATCCACATATCAGAAAAAAACATTCCACCTTTGTTTTTTTGGAGGGGGATTGCTTTTTTCACTTAGCATAAGAGTCTATAAGAAGTGCTTTTAAATTGAAATTGGGAATAAGATAACTGATTAAAAGCATGTCTTTATTTCTCCATGACTGTATACTAAAATAAGTAATCAAGAGTAAATTCTTAGCAGTGCAATGAACTGGAAAGTAAACTGTTAGTAAACCCCAAATTGAACTGTTCTAGGATACATATAAAAGATTGAATACTAAATGCTATAAGCACAAAATCTTAAACAAATATGAAAGAATTCAGGAAAAACAAAAACAAAAATCAAAACTACTGAGGGACTGGGGATGTAGCTCAGTAGTAGAGACCAGGCCTAGCATGCACAAGACCGTGGGTTCAATCCCCAGTACCACCAAAAGAAAGAGAAACAAATAGAAAGAAAGAAAAAGACTGATAAACTAGGATTTTCATTTTCATAGCAGCTACATTAAGACTTGATCCAAGTACATTAGAAAACAGAAATTCTCATTGATTTCAAAACATAAGGATTTCCACCAAAATATTTTTGTGCATTAATTTACAATATTTCTTTAGGCAAAATAAAGCATCAGAAAAAAGTGAATTTATGGAGAAAATACTATTGATGTAAATCACTCAAAAAGATATGCAATTTTACAAACAGAAACCTAACAAAATAATTACTGTTTCAATTAAAATTAACACAGTTCAATGTCTACTAGCATTTTTATCCAATATCATAGTCAGGCTTTTGTAGATTTAAATGCTAAGGTCATCATCTGCCTTTAAGATGTAGGTGAGGTGAAGGATATGTTTAAGTAGCATGATTTAATTATGCCACATTGTATTCATAAATTATAACATCACAGTGGATCCTGTAAAGCTTTACAACTCTAAGTAGTCAATTTATAATCAAAAAGATAGTGATCTTCCAAGGTATGAATTTCCAAAAGACATCAGTTTCATCAAAATTTTTTAGTTTTATCAAATTAAAAAATATGATATTTAAAAACATCTATGAAACATCTTCATATGTAGCTTCATTAGATACATTGCCAAAAAGCACAATTCTTAAATGAATTAAATTATTACAAACTGATTCCAAAGGAATTCACTTGATGTATTTTTTTGCACTTTTAAAACTTTTGCTGATCTTCTCCTCCCCAATACTGAGAAACTTTGTTCTATTTTAAAAGCACTTACATTGGTTTTAACCAAAGGAACTGATGGGTTATATTTACATCACTTTCCTCTTTACCAATGCCTTATATATAATGTTTTTGTTAATTTTTAAAAATATTTATTATATTTTAGTTGTAGTTGGACACATTATTTTTATTTCATTCTATGTGGTGCTGAGGATCGAACTCAGGGTCTCACATGTGCTAGGCAAGTGCTCTACAGCTGTGTCACAATCCCGGCCCCTATATAATGGTTTTTGATACAGAAACACAGTTTTGTAGTAGTCTTAGCACTACTACCCAACTGACTATAATTTTGTTAAAACAAACCTTGCTTCATTTGTTTTCTGAAGAGAAAGAAAGATATTGACAACATGTACCTACACGTACACACAAAGAAGCAGACATATTACAAGTACCTTCAAAGTTGACCTAAATCTTATTATCTTTATCTCATTTTCTATTTGTATTACATTTGTGTGTGTGTGTGTGTGTGTGTGTGTGTGTGTGTGTGTGTGTGAGAGAGAGAGAGAGAGAGAGAGACTCAGGATTGAACCCAGGGCCTTGTGCATGTGAGGCAAGCACTCTACCAACTGAGCGATATAGCCTATTTGTATACATTTTCAGACAGCGAAATATTAAGAAAATAATTTTAAAATTTAAAACTTTACTTCTTAATTTTTACTTATGCTTATTTTTATGTTTTTATTAGTGTATTATACACAATATTGGGACTCACTGTGACATAATCATACAGGCATGAAGTACAATTTGTTCCACTTCAGTTCCCAGTACTTCCTCTCACCCTCCCCTTCTCCCTCCCCCTGTTCCCTTCTCCACTCAATTGGTCTTCCTTCAATTTATTTATAGTTTTTTAAATTGGTACTTCATAAGTATAAATAAAAGGTGGAATTCACTTGGTACATTCATACGTGTACATATCATAATTTGGCTTTTTTATTCCATAGTTCATCCCTTTTCTTGTCCGTCCTCCTTCCCCCTGTCTCCCCCCTCTCTACTTCACTGACACTGATCTTCCTTCTGTTTTCATGGGATACCCTCCTATTTCCCCTTATTTTCCTTTAATTTCTTAATAACATCTATATTATAAGCTGACATGTAAAAATCTTACATCGATAAAAACATTATCAAAAATGTTTCACAAGAAGTTACTTTATTATGAAAATACAAATCATCATAAATTCTTTTCTCCAACTAGATAAATATCATGTGTGATTTTTCTCTTCTGAGAATAGGGCACAGCAGCAAATTGTGTAGATTCTTTAAAGGAGAAACTCCTGTTTTCACACTCTGAGCCTCAGATATTAGCAATCCTGCTGGTTCAAAGAGAGATGAATCAGGCAGTCAAGTAGAGTTTAATATAAAAACGAGACTACAAATTTTCATAAATGTATGTTGATTAAAAAAACAAATAGCAAAATATGAATATTCCTTGCTCTACATTTGTTTCTGCTTTACATATGACTACAAACAGAATCATCCTTTCACACAGTCATGGATTAATGTAACTAAAAAAGGAGAATTTTTGTCAGTTATAGCTTCTCCGAGGAGAATGAGGTAACATTGTTGAGAACATTTTTTGTTTGACAACAATCATATATTTATCCAATATTTGAAAAGTATAATTTAATTAAAATGATATATAACAAAAGTATCACAAAATCTTTCTTCAGAAACACATATTAGCTCACAACAGAGTCCATAAACGATTGACAGATTTTCTTCAGATGTTAATATTTTCTCATATGGAATATTATTGATAATAAAATGAAGTATAAAAGCACAAAAACAATGTCAATTCAGCTTATCAGGTATTCTTCATCAATAAAATTCAAGTGAAGGTAAAAATGTAGAAGTTACCACATGATCATATTGAATTTTACGGCTACCAAAATAAAAGGAACAGGAAAATACATATTGTAAACTGGTCAGTTGACCACAGAAATTTTATGGAGAAACCTCTCTACATCAAATCATCAATAAATACAATTTTAACTTTCAAAAGGATTAAAATATAGTCTTTTCTTAGAAAATAAATATGACTTTAGCTTAAATTTACATAATGTTAACTGCATTGGAAAATCTAATTTTATTTAGAAAAAATATTGGGAAATCAACATTATTAACTCAGATGTGAAGTAACAAAAATAGACTATAAGAAATACAGTTAATCCTACAATTCTACACATAGCCAAAGTCCAGTAACTAACAGAATATCACAGCAGTCAGAATTAGCCTATGTATATTTTCCCATTTCCATTTCAACCTTCTCTTTCTTTTTTTTTTTATAAATATTTTATTTTATTTATTTATTTTTTAATTTTTTATTGTGGGTCATTCAAAATATTACAGATTTCTTGACATATCATATTCCACACTTTGATTCAAGTGGGTTATGAACTCCCACCTTCACCCCATACACAGATTGCAGAATCACATCAGTTACAAATCCATTGATTTACATATTGCCATACTAGTGTCTGTTGTGCTCCACTGCCTTTCCCATCCTCCCCCCTCCCCCCTCCCCACCTCTCCCCTCCCCTCCCCTCCTCTCTCTCTACCCCCTCCACTGTATAACCCTGAGGGTCTCCTTCCATTACCATGCAATTTCCCTTCTCTCTCCCTTTCCCTCCCACCTCTCATCCCTGTTAAATGTTAATCTTCTTCTCCTGCTCTTCGTCCCTACTCTGATCTTAGTTACTCTCCTTATATCAAAGAAGACATTTGGCCTTTGTTTTTTAGGGATTGGCTAGCTTCACTTAGCATAATCTGCTCTAATGCCATCCATTTCCCTGCAAATTCTATGATTTTGTCATTTTTTAATGCAGAGTAATACTCCATTGTGTATAAATGCCACATTTTTTTTTATCCATTCGTCTATTGAAGGGCATCTAGGTTGGTTCCACAGTCTTGCTATTGTGAACTGTGCTGCTATGAACATCGATGTAGCAGTGTCCCTGTAGCATGCTCTCTTTAGGTCTTTAGGGAATAGACCAAGAAGGGGAATAGCTGGGTCAAATGGTGGCTCCATTCCCAGCTTTCCAAGAAATCTCCATACTGCTTTCCAAATTGGCTGCACCAATCTGCAGTCCCACCAGCAATGTACAAGTGTACCCTTTTCCCCACATCCTCGCCAGCACTTGTTGTTGTTTGACTTCATAATGGCTGCCAATCTTACTGGAGTGAGATGGTATCTTAGGGTGGTTTTGATTTGCATTTCTCTGACAGCTAGAGATGGTGAGCATTTTTTCATGTACTTGTTGATTGACTGTATGTCCTCCTCTGAGAAGTGTCTGTTCAGGTCCTTGGCCCATTTGTTGATTGGGTTGTTTGTTCTCTTATTGTCTAATTTTTTGAGTTCTTTGTATACTCTGGATATTAGGGCTCTATCTGAAGTGTTCAACCTTCTCTTTCAAAGTATAATTTTTTATTAAAAGTATTAAATGTGAATCTCATATCTTCTAAAATTTGAAACACACAGACTATATTATTACATTTGTTATTAAAATATAATACAAAATTTGTGATTATATAAAACATTTGTTAAGCATATAACTGTATTATTATTAAAACTTTATTACTATAATATTACTTTGATAGATTAAAATGTTAAATACTTACTCAGTGAAGATCCAGTTACAAGTTATTCCTTTCCTGTTTTTTTAGGGTTTATATATTTCACAGGTATAGGCTGGACAACTTCAGAATTTTCCTTTTTAAAATACTTGAAAAAGTAAAATCCAATAGTAGTTAAGCAGATAGTGAATACTTTGCACAAAAAACCTGAAATTTTAGAAATGAAGGATCATATTATGAGTTTATTTAGAATAAAATACTTGTGGAAATAATGTCATTTACCAAAGAAAAGTATAGTTCATCTCTAAAGGTATAAATTCTTCAAATGTAGAATGTAATTAATGTTATAAACTCATAAAAAGTTACTTAAAGGAGATCAAAAATATGCTTCTAAAACATTTCAGATGGTTTATGCATGTACTTCCCCCAAATGCAAAGTGTATTATTAGTACTAGAATGTGTTAAGATTAAAACAAAACAAATTGTACTTTCAGAAATTAACTATCAATATGAACTGGAACCTGCTTATATCACTTCATGTAGCTTTAGTCTTTGAAATATTTACAGTTTTCCAAATATGAATAGAAATACTATGGAAAATGTAAGTGATTTTGTAGGTATTTGGCCTTCATTTTTATGCCTTAAATTTTCAGAAAGTTAATAGTTATTCACAATATTATATAAAAGCATTAAGTTTTGGATGCAAAAACCCTGTCAGTTAAAGTATTAACTAATGTATGGCAGCAAAATAGGAAACATTCATGAGTCTGTACCACTTATAATGACAATAATATTTCATGTATTTTAAGGGAAGAATGCCATTTTTTAAAAAATTGATACAGTTCGTATGCATTATTATTTAGTATATTTTATGTGGTACTGGGGATCGAACCCAGTGCCTCACACATGGTAAGCAAGCACTCTACCACTGAGCCACAACACCAGCCCAGAAATACCATTTTTGTTTTTTATTTATAATTATTTATTTTTATGTGGTGCTGAGGATTGAACCCAGTTGCTTCATACATGCTAGGCAAGCTCTCTACCGCTGTGCCACAACCCCAGCCCCTGGGAATACCAATTGTAGAGAGTTATCTCTGAAATAGTTGTGACAATACTAAGATTACAAAGCAGTAATTAACTGTATAACATTCTCCTGTAGGTACAGTTTTGGAGGATAAATTGAGAAATTATGCTTGTTGTGCTTCTAAGAAGAGAATAAATGTAGCAGGCAAATTATCTGAGGACATTAGGTAAGGCCAGACAACATCAAAATCTTCTGTTAAAAATACTTGACAGAGCTAATGAAAAACAAGGAATAGACAGATTAATATTCAAAGGAAGGGAGAAGATAGTGGGGGTGATCTGACATCTGCACCTGCTTTTGTTTTGAGAACACTTTTTATACTGGATGGGGAGAATGAAAAACGAATTTCTACTCTGAAGCTGGAGGTGGTGGTGTACATTTATAATCCAAGTTATCTGGAAGCTGAGACAGGAGAATCACAAATCTGAGGCTCACCTGGGAAACTTAGCAAGAAACTGTCTAAAAAAAAAATCACACACATGCAAAGAAACACAAAAACTACACTCTGCAAGAAACTGCTGCTGAGGAATAAAGCTTCTCATGGTCTAACAAAGAGTGAAAAAGCTGGAGAGAACAAAGATTTCAAACTAAAAGCAAGACATTACTGAAAGCAGAGAGAGCGTAGAACTTTAATACAGCAAAATATTCAGGTTATGGTATGGGTATTATTGGTTTCTTTTAGTCAAAATTAAAGTGGGAGCAAAAGGAAACAAAGTAGATGTCGAAGATTCATAGAATGACTAGGAAAAGAGCAAAAGAGGATGTTTGGGAGAACTGAAGACCCACATGCTAAGGAGATCAGAGTGGTTAAAGGAAGCCAGTTGCTACATGTGGACAATGAGAAAACTGTCTCCAGTACCCCTCAGAAATGCTTGAAACTGCCCTGTATATCACAGACCCAGAGAAAGAATTTCCCAGGCAGAGTTTTCTCAGGGACTGAGCTACAGCACTCTGTAGGATTGATGTTAATGGCAACCTCCAAATTCATCTCTCTGATTTTAGAATAGAGTTCCATAACTATAGTAATGGTTCATATGGGAACAGACTGCTCATGCTGGCAGCAGCATTTGGTGTCTATGTGTTGGTTTTGTTATTTGGTTTTCGTACAAGGGATTGAACCCAGGAGCACTTAACCCCTGAGCCACATCACCAGTGCCTTTTTTTTTTTTTTTTTTTTTTTTTTTTGAGACAGGGCCTCGCTAAGTTGCTGAGGCTATCTTTGAACCTGTGGTCCCCCTGCCTCAGCCTCCTGAGCTGGCAGGATTCCAGGTGTACACCACCATGCTCATCCATGTGTTGATAGTTTCGCAGGTGTGAGAAATGCAAGTTATAAGATTATGGCAGCTTTGACCAAGATGCAAAGGAAAACCTGGGAAGCTACTCAGAAATTTGCTATTGTGTAAGAGCCCAAGCAGAAAGGTCACTATGGAGTAATGCCTACTGGACCCATGAGAGCAAAACCATAGAAGGGACATAGGAAAGGCAGAATAAGCAACAGCATAGAGCACCACCAGGAAAACCTGCAATACCAGACTGAAAGAGAAACCGTTTGTGACCCATATTCACCATTGAAGAGCAAAGTATAGGGCAGGGCTGCCTTGGGAACCCAGCCCTCACCACTGTGCTCCCAGAATGCCAGACTTGGATTTTTAAGATTTAATGTCTGCCCCACCCCCTGGTCTCAGTCTTCACAGGGCTGATTTTTTTTCTCTCTGCTTCATTATTTCTTCCTTTTGGAGTTGGAATATTTAAAATACGATTTCATGATTGTATTTTAGAAGTACATAATTTTTCCCCATTTGTATTTTATAAAGGCTACAGCTGAAAGAGTTGTCACAAATCTCAAAAGAGACTATGGACTTGGGAGTTTTGAGAGATGCTAGAATGAGCTAAGACTGTAACTATGGGGATGGAATGATTGTATTTTTAGTAGGAGAAGGGCAAAAGCCTTGGAGGCCTCCAGTGACTTGCTGTGTATTGAATCTGTTTTGTCCTCCCAGGGTTCATGTGTTAGAAGCTTGGTCCACAAGGTAGCAATGACAGAAGTAAGGAATAGCAGGAGATACTTAGGACATAGGGGTTTCTGTTATCAGAAGGAAATGAGAGAGTTCTCATGAGATACCAATTAATTCTCAAGATCACATTGTTATAAAGAATAAGTGTGACCCCTGAATGGCTCTCAACTTCCTGCTTTGACATGCAATCCTCTCCCTCTCATAATGCTCCCTTGCCCTGCCATGATTTGATGCAGACCAAGGAACCCTTGCAGGAGCTGGCCCAGTGCTTTTTGAAATTTCAGAATCCAATATCTTTTTTTCTTTATAAAATTCCAAGCCTCAAGTATTTTTGTTATAGTAATAGAACAGGCTCTACAGACATAATGCCTCCAGATTCATCCATACTGTCACAAGGGAGGTTTTCCTTCTTTTTTTTTTTTTTAGGAGCAAATAGTATTCCATGGTATACACATAACACATTGTTAATATCCATTCATCTGTTGGTGGAGCTTAGGTTTGATTCCATGTCTTGATTATTGTGAATAGAGTTGGAATAAACATGTGAGTACAGATATTTCTTCAACATTCTAATTTCATTTCCTTTGTATATACATCCAGGGGTGGAACTGCTGTGACTTATAGTAGTTCTATTGCTAATTTTTTGAAAGCTTCATAACAGCTATACTAATTGACATTTCCACCAGCAATGTTCAGTAACTCCCTTTACTCAATATCCTCAATAGGACTTATCTTTAGTCTTTTGATAATAGTCATTCTAACTTAGATTATATGATTTCTCATTGTGGTTTTAATTTGTATATCCCTGATGATTAGTGATGTTGATATTTTTTTTTTCATATACCGATTTGCCATTTTTATATCTTCTTTTTAAAAATGTTCAGATCTGCTTCGGTTTAGATATAGTTTAATTGGACCCCTCACACCCCCCCCAAAAAAAGTTTCATGTAATTGGAGGCTTCATATTCAGTGTAGTGGTATTTGGAGGTGTCATGGAAAGTTTAGGAGGTGAGGTCTAATGGGAAGCATCTCATAAAAGGACAGGGTGGAAGTAGGGTAGGCAGACTTCCTCCTTTTATAACAACTTTCTCATGAGAACTTCGAAGGGGTTGTACAAGAATTACTTTATGCCTTACCCTCATGACCCAAGGACCTCCCACCAATCTTTACCTCTTAAATGCTCCACAGCACCTCCAAGTACTATTTCCCTGGGAACTAAGCCTTCAATCACATAAACCTTTGGGGGATTACAATTAAACCATATTTAAACTAGGGCACTGTTATTGTTGATACTACTGTAAATGAGATGCTTTTGTTATTTTTTTAAATAGCTATTTTTAGTCTATAGAATACCACTAATTTTTGTATGTTGAGTTGTGTCTTATAACTTTACTGAATTCATTTACTAGTTAAATCATGTCTTTAGTGAGATATAAGGGTTTTCTCCATATAAGACCTTTTCATCTGCAAATGGGTAATTTTATTTCTCCTTTCTAGTGTGTATTATATTTTTCTTGTCTAATTTTTCTGGCTTGAACTTCCCATATTAAATATAATAGGGATGGAGAAAGTGACAGTCCTTTCTTTTTTCCTGATTTTACAGGAAAAGTTTTCAGGTTATCACAGTTATGATGGTAGCTATGGGCTGGTCAAATATGGCCTTTATTATGTTGTGGTACATTTTTTTCTAAATCTAATTTTCTGAGTTTTTAATCATGAAATGAAATTGAATTTTGTCAGGTATCTTTTCTACCTTTATTGAGTTTATTGTGATTTTTAACCTTAATTCTGTGAAAGCTATTTTCATATTTCAAACTATTTTCATAGTGACCTGGCACTGAGGAGGCTGTGAATCTGATCCAGGTCCTGGATCCTGGATCTGTGGGTGCCAGCTAATACCAAAGTCTACTAGGGTTATCCTGAACACAGAAATAACAGGAGCCAGCTTGGGGGCTCTTTAGGCCTAAAATATGTATCTTAAGGATCAACCCTTGAGGTTGGGGCTATAAATGCCAACCTGGCATCTGAAGCTGCAGGTACAAGTCTGATACATGGTATGTACTGAAGGAACTAAACTGGAGTTTACACTTACAGAGGTAATCCTACAGTTGGCATAGGCCTGAGGGCTTGGTCCATGGAGTGTTGTTGGACTGGGACCCAGTTCCTTGGGGCTAATCTGGAGTTATTTTTCAATAAGGTAGGCTTGATTTGGGGTCCTCAGCAAAAATAAGTGTTTTCCTAGTGTTCATTTACCCAATGCAGGGTGTTCCAAAGAGCATATGTTGGGGAAAGGGTGATGTGAGTAATGTGAAACTTACACCTGATAGTCTTCAATGTGTATTTTGTTATGTATATGTTACACCTAGGTGCTGTGTTCTTTTACCTGGATTCCTTAACCCTTGCAAAGACATTTTCATGTGTGGAAAATTAGACAAATTGTTTCTATGAAGGAACAAGTATTAGAAAGTTGTATTCTCTCATTTTGGTGATATCCTCCACAACTGTGAATTTTTAACTTAATGATCCAGAATTTATATTTTAAAATCAGAATTATTTAGAATTCTTATAATAATTCTGATTCAAAGAAACTTTGTGTATGATTCCAACGCCCTTAAAGTTTGTGTGTTGGAATTTTAATTCTCAATGTAACCATATTGGGAAGTAGCCTAATAACAGATGATAGGCTCATGAGAGTTCCATCCTCATGGATAGAATAATGCATGTGAGTCATTGTAGGATTAAGTTGGTTATTAAAAGTGTGGGTTAGTGATAAATACTCATGAGTTTCAGCTCCCTCCTATGCCCACCTACTCTCTTGCTCACTTCTGCCCTCTCTTCCATGAATACTTTCTCACCATGTGATACTTTCATCATGTTTTAACCCAGTAAAAAGGCCCACATCAGGTGCAGAATTCAATTTTGGACTTCTAGCCTCCAAAACTATGAGATATAATTTTTTTTTTTTTATAATTGATCTACTCTCTGGTAGTCTCTTATAAAAGTATCATAAAATAGACAAAGACATACATAGAATACAATTGTTAAATATATTGGTTCTGTTAGTCCATTTAACATTGCTATAATTAAAAGAGGCTCATAATTAAAAGTAATAGTTTATTTAGCTGAGAGTTTCGGATGTTAAAGGGCCAATGGTCACCCCCTTTGCCTGTATTATAGGCAAACAGCATCATGGAGGGAGTGCATGTGAGAGGGAAAGACTGGAAGTCAAAGTAAGGTCAGACCAATCTCACTCTTTTATAACAATCCTACTTGTGAGCATTAATCAAAGTCCCAGGAGAGGTACATGAATTCTAGGGCAGAGACCCTAGGGACCTAGTGACCTCCAATGAGGTCACTTTTCTCAAAAGTTCTATCCCTCATCACATTGCTGCACCTCCAACACATTAATCTCTGGGAGACACATTCAAACTATTTTAAAATCATAAATAAGATTACATAAAATTGTCATAGTACATATTCTTCTAGCATTTTCCTGTCTTTGTACCTTCTATCTGACTATAATTATGTGCTTTACATTTTGTATCTTCTTTTAATAGGTCCATAGTGGGTTCTCCAGTATTTCATTAACTTTCTTAATTGTGTGTTGTGTTTGAAAAGAGCTAACTATATTATGTCTATCATAAAAATTAAAAATCTCAGCAATGTTTTAAGAACACTTAAGAATAATCCCTAGTTTTATTGAATTCTGACAAAAATTAATTTCTACACATTAAATGTCAAGTGGCTTTTTAATTTAATTTTCTTGTTTTACCCAGTATTCAGTATGGGTCAAACTTGCTGGGTAACTGAATTTTAAATTCCAAGGCATTACTCTATACTGTCTATCAAACATATATTTATTTGTTTTAAATATTAGAATCTGTAATTATGTGGATCCTTGAATTACTGGTCCTATTCAGTAAAAACACAAAACATATAAATACTTTGAATATTTATTACATAAAAGTATTTATATATTAAGACATACTTTGATTATTTATTAAAATTTTAGAAATTATGTAGCACTATATCATGATTAAATGACTAAATTAAGATCCAGAATCACTCAGTGAATTTTCCAAACACTAACATATGTTGACTTTCCTAACCACGACCATAGCTTCCACCCACACAACATCCCAGTTCCCTATATTTCTTATTTATTCAAGAAATATTGAATGCTTGCTATGTTCCAAGCATTCATACTTAATAAACAAAAGAGAAAATGTGAAGTTTTTTAAGTGTGATAACAGTATCTTGATGATCTTTCATGGTATAATTTTTTTTTTGTTCAAATTTATTTAATCATTTACAGTGAAACTGGAAAAGGTCACAAGGTCAAGAAATGTGGTTGCTGATGACTATACAGGCAGAATTACTTCCTAAATTTAATTTTTACTGATTATAACCCTTTCTTCTGGAATAACTGTGCTAATCATCCTTTTGTTTCTGTGTCAAATACCTATAGAAAACCTATAGAAATACCTATAGAAACTTTAAGGAGGAACAGGTTTTTTGGTGCACTGTTTCCAGGATTTCAATCCATGGTTTATTGGCTACATTGTTTCTGGGTCTATGATGAGGCAGAATATCATGTCAGAAGGGTGTAGCAAAACACTTTTTCACTTCATGGAGATTAGAAACAGAGAGATTGGGAGGAAGAGGCCAGGAATAAGATATACTGCCTCAGGGCACACCTACAAGGAACCACTTCCTTCATCTAGGTCACTTCCTGACGTTTCTACCACTTCCCACTAATGCCATCAAATGATTAATCCACTGATGAGGTCAGAACCCTCATGATCCAATTACTTCCCCAATATTCTTAATATTACTGCATTGGGGACCAAGCCTTCAACACTTGAAACTAGGGGGGACATACCAGATCCAAACCATAAAAATAACATAAAACTATTGTGTATTTAACACACTGATCAAATATTTATATAAATTCTATAGTATTTGTTTCCAAAATATTTTCTATACAATCATATAAGCCTACTTTAATTATCAAACTATTAGTTTGTGGTTTATTATTACTCTACTATAAACAAACATAAGTGTTTAAAACAATTTTATTTTTCTAAGTTTCTATAATATATGCCACTTACATATTCCTACCAGTAGGTAGGCCATTTTTGTCCTGTTATAGATCCAACAACGTCCTTTGCGTCCACAATGATTAATATCCCGAAAGGTACAAGAAGTTTCTCCTACCATTTTAAAAATGACTGGTCCAGGAATTGTTCCTGTAAAATATTTAATGATTGTAAATTCTCCATAAAACACCATTGATCAGGATCATAATAATTTCCTTTAGAATTTCCACACATATCATCATCATCATCATCATTATCATCATCATCATTTTAAATATATCACTTAAATCATCAAAGAATCACTTCTGGTTAGGATTGTTAACTACTGGAAATAATATGAGTTTTTAAAAACTTCTTATCCCTAAATGTACAAATATATTTGTACATTGGAATCTTTTTTAGAATTTTTGTACATGTTTTTGTTTCAAAGCCATCTCAAAATATTTGTTGGTTTTTACTTGAAAAGTTTAGAATAAAATATTTTGAACAGAGATACCAAATACTGTTTTTTTGTGAACTCAGTATATCTTCAAAGATATGTAACTGCAAAATTTTGAATGACTGAAAAATGAGTTGGCAGTGTAAATCTTTTATCAAGATACTTGGAAAAATAAATGAAAATGAAAACATTTTGATAAGCTTATGGTAGTCCCAGATTCAGATGGCCTGAGATCCTAAAGGACAGCTGTGCTGCCAAAGGGAAATTTTTACATAATTTCAGAGACAACAGCTCTTCACCAACAACACTTTTTCCTTTCATCAAAAAGTGAATGAGCAGTCACATGCACAGTTTTCCCATAGTCACCAGAATTGTGTTCTCAGAGTTAAACATTGGTAATGGTTGATCAACATTCTTAAGAAATTATTACGGTGTTGGTGCCCCATGACTCTTGATGTCTGCCAATTTCCCCATCTCAGTCTTTTTATAGTTGCTCAACGTGAAAAACCTACATCTACCACATACTATTTTTCACTTCTCATCATCTTTTTCCAATACATCATAAATGTTGTAACACAGATTCCAAACATATCTTGGATATACTGATTTCTTTCTTTAGCTACCAACATCCCAGATTTCCAATTTAATATGATTCTTAAACTCACCAAAAGCCTCCTTTTTCTTTTCCTCTACATTTTTCTCATAATAATTATTTGCCTTTCTACCAGCAGAGTTCTAAAAATGTACATAAGCTAATATCTATCTTCTGTTTGTTTATATCTACAATATAATCTTTCCAATTCAAAAATACATCAGCCTCACTGACTTCTTTTTGCGGCAGCAAACTGGCCTATGCACTGCTGTTCCCTGTGCTATTTCTTTGGTTACAGATATTTTCTGATCTGTTGGGTCACTGTCCAGCATTAAACTCATGTTCTAATTTTTCCATGTTAAAATGCTAATTTGAATCACACCTATTGAACTAAAATTATTTCTCTGCTCCAAATCAGAACCCAACATACAATTTCTACATTTTTGTACTGCGTACTTTACAGCCTTTAATCCAGTCCAATCTTGTTTCTTTACTCCGATGATATTTTTAATCAACTTCTTAAATCAGGACTTATAATACAGTCATAATGTGGTTTGAAATATAGATCTTGTTATTTAAGAAAGCCTGAAGAAAGGAGCTCATTACTCCCAGAAAAAAAAAATTAAAAAAAAAAACAAAACAATTTATTCTTTAGAATAAGCAAATCTGTAAAAACAGATTCAGTATCTTTGGTGATGAAAATATTCAAAAGGACTACTCTAGTTTAGTGACTTCCCTAAAGTTCAAGAAATATAAAGTTAATACAAGTATTTTGTATGAGCTCCTCAACCCACTTTTATGAGATGATGAATATACTCTAGAGCAAAATTCTCAGATACTCCTCAGATCCAATATAGTGGGTGCATGTTTTGTATAAAAGAACTGGCATTACATTAGGTATTCTGTCTTTACATTAATTGCCTCCTGAATTTTTCAAAACACCTCTCCTATTCACTTGTTTTGTGTCATTTTAAATTATTTAATTATAAATACATATATAAACACATACATATCAAAACTCAAACAACTGGATGTAATAAAAAATAGCTGCTTAAAGTCCATACCAAGTAATCTTAGAATGACATACGATATACCCAACGCCAAAGAATGGAGTTTCCCTGGTACAACCCTGAAAGAAAATAATGAAGATATTATTACCAATGCATAATGTATGCTAGGTTCAATGTTAATTTCTTTTTCTTGTGTATCAGTTGTACTAAGAACCTATGGCCAGTTGGCAGAATTTGATCTGACACATTAAAGGACTGCAGCTCCTCCCATTTCTCCATTTCTTGCCTGTTGCCAACAAATTACAAAGCTCTTTGTGCTTCACAATGAGAAAGAACTTTATGACCAAAATTTTCTGTCTCAGATTCTGTTTGCTTTCTTGAAATAACTAGCTTCCATGCTTTTATGTTATTCATTTGGTCATGTATGTCATTGTCTTAGATTCCTTTCATTTTCTATTTTATTTTCCTATTTATTTATTTAGTGGCACTGGGGACTGAACTCGGGGGTACTCTACCACTGAGCTGCATTTCCAGCTTCTTCTGTATTTTGAGGCAATTTTTTTCACTAATTTGCTGAGGCTGGCCTTGAACTTGCAATCCTCCTGCCTCAGCCTCCACAGTCCCTGGGATGACAATCTTGGGCTACCATGTCCAGCAGCTATGCGGTTTTTATTGTTTTGGTTTTTTGTTTGTTTGTTTGTCTGATTGGTTGGTTGGTTTGGTTTGTTTTTTGATGGCATTAGGGATTGAACCCCTACTAGGCAAGTGCTCTACCACTATGCTACATCTCCAGTCTTTAGACTCCCTTTATGTGGGCATTTTAAATAAACTCTGCTTACTGTTTGCTTCTTTGTATTAAAATCTGAACAATACAGTACGATCAATATTTTCATCTGCAATAACTTATTTAAAAAGATGTAGTATATGCATAGTATTTTATAATACTTCATTGATATGGGTAGAATACAAATGTAATTCTACCCATATCAATTAAGTATAAATATATATTTATATCTCAAATGCTTACTAACAGGAAAATGAAAACAAATTAACCAACTCTTTGCTAATAATTATATTATTACATAAAAATTAATACTTTTATTACAAGTACATTGCTTAAAAAGAAGTTATAAAAAGCAAAGTGTGACATTTTAGGACCAAACTTTAGTATAAAGCTTTTTATATACAGTAGAAATATTGATTACTTGCTTAACTATGATTCTCTGCATCTTTTATTATATGCAGTTTGGTTAAATATGTAACATGGCCGTGGTTCTCTCTGAAGCATATGTATACCCTCATATAAAGTCAATAAGAAGTATTTATAGTTTGATTTGAGCCATCAGCATCTTTCTGATACAGAAAATAACGTTTAAATGTTTGGTGATTCCCAGGAGTGTCCAATATCAATTTAATGAACTTAAAGATGAAAATTATATACATAAAAATCAAAATTTTAATGAGACATAACTATGTCATAACATAAAGGTGAATACTTCTTTAAAAATTTTTTTCTAAGTTTTGATATTGTGGTTTAAGAATTTCATGAAGTAAACAGAACATTTGTAGGTACTCTTCAAAAATAAAAGGAAGCTTTCATCATCTCTTATGTGACAGCTACCTGTTTTTTTGGTGTTTTTTTTTTGGCCATATCTTTCCTGTAAGACATCAATACTAGACATAGGTTTCTGTCTTACACAACATTTTGTTCTTCCCCTAGTGCTCCCTATCTTAAGAAGTGGACCATCAGTAGATACTCACTTCACATACACACATCCTAGAAAGGGGTCACTATGGACATGATCCTTTTCCTCATCACCACAATCAGCAATCAAATGTTGTGATTGAAACAAAATAGAAAATATCATTTTTTTCATCTATCTCTCCTGTCACCTCTTTCCTCCCTCTCCCCATAACCTCTCTCTTTTGATACTGGGGATTGAACCCAAGGGCACTTAGCCACCAAACCACATCCCCAGCTCTTTTTTGTATTTTATTTAGAGACAGGGTCTCCTTGAGTTGCTCAGGACCTCATTAAGTTACTAAGGCTGGCTTTGAATTCACGATCCTCTTCAGCCTCTTGAGCCACTGGAATTACGTTTTGAAAAGCAAAACAATGTAAAGAGGGTGTACTGGACAAACTAGGGTTCCTAGACCTATGTCCTCATTTTCCCCGATTTCTATCTCATGTCTTAAAGGCCAACATCTTAATTACCTTTTTGTTTATACCTCCAGTGTTTCTTTATGTGAGTACAAGTAACTAAAACTGCATATCAGTACTGCTTTGCATTCTGACTTTTTCATGGAACAACGTACTCTTAAGATTCTTTCCTATGTGAACACAGAGATTCTCCTTAACTCATTTTTTTTTCAGTCATACAATATTGCATTACTCAGAAATGCTCTAATTTATTCAACCAATCTGTTGTTTTTAGTTTTTTCTCAATGTTTAGGTTATCTGTATCATATATCTTTTTATGTAATATGATTTGTATGTGATATAGATAACCATATTGATGAAAATGTATTTGTTTGCAGAATATTTGCAATAAGGATTACAAGAAGTACAATGCTACCTATCAGTAGATGAATAGATTAATAAATTATGCTATATGGTATGATATATATATATACATATATATATACACATATGTAATGGAATTCTATATATAATATTCTTTTCTATATATAATATTCTTTATATATCATATATAATATATATTGAATATATATATATTAGAATTAATATATATATTAGAATTAATATATATTAATATATATTATA